GAGATTTTCCTATGTAAAAGCTATGATTTAGGGAAGAGGGATGATTTTAAATAAGTTAAAAAAAGAGAGATTTTGTAACCTGCTGATATTGAAGTAATGATAGCCAGGGCTGCAGTATTCTATGCAAATTCAACAGAGTTTGGAGATGATATCGATATTGTTTGTAAAATCACTCCAATCAGTTTGAAAGTTTCCTTCAAAGACTTACTCACTATCTAAACTGGTTTAACATATTAGCTGAGCTAGATGCCAAAACAAAACCCTGCTGCCATTAATGAACAAATGAAAAATAATGAATTGTCTAAATTAGATGCTTCTCATCTTGATAAAATATCAATGAATTCAATGAGAATTGATTTGGAAATTGAAAAAACAAAAGTTGTAGTATTAAATGATATGGGTAACACCTTTGCTCCATTATTCGATTTATAAGTAGATCTAATCAAAATTCTATTACAAAAGAAACCTATTCTTTTTGAAATTAGTATTTTAATCCCCTTTGAATTAAAAAACTTTAATCCTCTTACCTCTAAATGGGAACCAATCATAGAGAAAACAGAATTTCAAATAATTTACTTATCAAGTCTGTTGGGTGAAACGAAAAACCTAATTACAATAGAACAATTAAAGGAGGATGCATCTTTTAATCTTAATATATCTTCTGTCTGTATCTAGACGGTTCTAAAGGTGCTGAAAATTATGAATAAGATTTTTAAGAAGTCAGATGTTAGAGAATAGAGAAGCTTGTCTAAATCTTCATTAACGTCCGAAAATGAGGGGAGTGAAGTACTCATTTAAGAATCACCATATGCAATAAGAAATTTAACAGGCAGACCTCTTCAAATTGAGTATATTGATAAAAATAATTAATCTCAATTGAATGTACCTGTAAATCAATAATTAAATATGGTTTATGATGAAGAAATGGAATAGATGAATAGTAATAAAATAAGAAGAGTAAATGTAAACATTAAATTGGACAAGAAGACATTTCCATTGAAATATATTGACTTAGACAAGACTAGAGGAAAACTGTATGAACATGAAAGTCTGCAAGCTTATGGTATAGTAAAATTAGACTAAGTAACAAGTTAAAAGATACTAATCGTATCATCTCCAATTATAATTGTAAATAAAACAAGCAAATCTATAATCTTACAGATTAGTGATGATAAAAACTAATAAATATTTAAATTATAGCCATTAGTCAATGAATTAGATTTAACAAATGTTGTGCCAATTCCAATTGGATTTGAGAATTCTAAATTTTGTTTAAAGGTTGAGAATTGCCCACAATTTTCAGAAGAAATAAAAATAGATGCTTTAATTAGAAATTCAGCTGTAGGATAGCCATAAGCGATACACACAAGAGAAGGAATATATATTCAATTGAAAGTATATTTAGATAAGGAATATAAAGATAAAGTTAAAATAGAATTGCAAGCACCTTATAGAATAACAAACTCATTGCCAAAAGAAATTTACGTTCAAATGCTAAATTAAAGAAAAGAAACAACATACATCAAAAAAATATAACCAAGGGAAACCATGGAGGATTACATGCATTGTCTATCTAGTATTGATAACAAAAAAAACACTTATATTAGAGTATTATTGTAAGGGTTTTATTGGTCAAGTGAGTATCAACTATCATCACCATTAGTAGAGGAAGGACAAAAGAACAAAACTGATTATTTAGGAAAATTATAATTGGTTGATGGAATGGATAACCAATTAACTTTGTTAATCTTTGAGCCTTGGCGATAACCAGACTATAATAAAGCAACAAGAGAGTTTGTAATTCATAGTATGGGCTATATAATAAACAAAACTGGAATGGATTTATAATATTATACATCTGAAAAAAAGAAGAACCTAATACCAATCGCAGGATAAAATCCAATTAATTCAGGAGATTCAATAGACAGAAACATAATCTTCATCGGATAAGAGTGCGGAAATATATTATAGTTGTCTCATTCATCTGCCCCTCAAAAAATATCATAATTTCCAATTTAAATATCTAGTATTGGTGAACCATTCATTGATATCATTAGGGTAGATGAAGAGGATTCTAGTAGACTGCTTTAAACATATCTAGGAGCTAAATTGGATTTGAAGGTCTGTAATAACAAATATACTCTTTTTTCAAAGGTGATTACAATAGAGCCTAGATTCATTTTGGTAAATAATACTGATAAAGAATTGATAATACACGATGTCGATGGAAATTACCATTAAATTATTTAGCCTAATCAAAGAGCCATTTCTTAAGTTAAATATAATGTAAAGCAAAAAGATCCATTTGATTTACAATTTATAACAATGAATCTTAATGAAAATACTTATCATCCAAGTGGTAGAATCAATATATGCTCGGTTGGAATAGTAAATTTTCAATTGAGACATACATAAGATTCTTAAGAAAAATTATACTTAAGTTGCGATATTCGAAAAGAAGGATGTAGTTTATATATTATCTTTACTTAACTCTCTCTCGATTAAGCACCATATAAAATAGAACTTGAAGCTGAGGCATTAGAATTAGTAATTTAAGAGTTGAAGGTCACTCTCAGATAAGATAATTAAGTTGCCTATTTTGCTTCTGATGACCCTTAACAAATGAGTAGGATTTTGAATGTAGAATTGAGAGTTGCAGATGATCCTTATAATGATTTTACTCCCTTTAAATATAAACTTAATCCAGATATCATTGGTGTTTTTAAGATCTACACTTTTAAACCTAAAAAAGGATCTATGGCTAATCCTATTTCTGTTGCTTTGACTATCATGCCTTAAGGTAATCAGAAGCATGTTAAAGTGGCCATAGCCACATAGGAATAAATGGCACTCTATCAGTCAAAACCAAAATAAGACTTCTTAAAGTAAGTCAAAGAGAAGGAAAATCTTGGAATAGAAATGAATGAAGACTCCATAAGATAATCGTATTCGCTATAACAATCACGTCAATCTCAATAATAAGATGGTGATAAAATCTTGACGAGAATTAATCTTAAGATAAATTCATTTTCATTATCTATTGTTCATAATTCTCAAATGAAAAAGAGACCAGCAGAATACTTTCACTTTTTATGTAAAAATATAGAATTTGTTACTATTTCAACAAATATTAGTTTGGTTGTTTAATTGAGAGTACAATATATAAATTTTGATCATAACGCTTAATTTTATGTTCAATTTCCTGTTATTTTAACACCATAAAAATATTCAATATATTAACCAACTTAAATCTAATAATAATAATAATAATAATAATAATAATAATAATAATAATAATAATAATAATAATAGTAATAATAGGAAGCTGTCAAATAATATTAATAGAGCGAAAAATACTTTTTTAATTTCTTAATTATGAAGGATAATAGGGTTACATCAATCAACTTATTTCAAAATGTCACTTTAGAAATAGATCCATTTGAAGTCAAAATAGAATAACTATTCATTAATAATTGTTTAGATTTCATTTGGGCTATAACATCGTATTAAGGATTAATAAATGATTATAATAAGACCTAATCAGAAATTTTGCTTAAATAAAAATAATCAGATACTCAATCCTTATAAGAAAAGAAATAAAGTACTAATAGTTCAGCATAAATTGAATCAGTTTACTAATCCAATGAAGAGTGGAGAACGAAGTAATTACCAAAAGCATAATTACCAACTTATATTAGTGAAATCATCATATCCCCAATAGCCATAAATGTCACTTTCTAAATGACAGGCAAAGGAGATCTAAAATTAGTATAGTCTGCCTTATTTTCATCCATAGCCTAAGCTTTGGGGGTCGCATTGACAGATGTAAGTGATGCACCAATTGTTATTTCAGGATGGCAACTTGAAAATTGCTTTGATACAATTCCAGGAATACTGAAGAAAATGTAGGAATTTTATCTTGCTGCAGGTTTGAAGTAACTCGGCAAATTGATTGGAAGTTTGTCAATTATAGGTAATCCTATTAGTTTATTTAATAATGTATCAACAGGATTTAAAGATTTCATTGATAAACCAGCTGCAGGATTGACTTAAGGTCCTTTAGAAGCTGGTTTAGGATTAGCCTAAGGAGCTGGATCATTGGTATCTCATACTATATTAGGAGCAATAAACTCAGTTAACAAAATAGCTGGAAGCGTAAGTGGAGGTTTGGCAAATTTGGCAATGGATGAAAATTATTTAAGGAAAAGAGAAAAGATGAAGATGTAGAAACCAAAGCATATTGGTGAAGGTTTAGGATAAGGAGCCCAATCAATAATGACAGGAATAACAGATGGCATTGCTGGAGTTTTCTTGAAACCCATATAAGAAACCAAAGAAAAGGGTTTGAAAGGAGTCTTTACCGGAACAGCTAAAGGATTTGCTGGACTAATCATAAAACCAATAACTGGAGTTTTAGATGGATTCTCCTAAACTGCAGCTGGAATTCAAAATACAGTTCAATATTTTGATGACAAACCTAATAATAATAGATCTAGAAATATTCGACCTGTTTACGGATATGAAGGATATATCACTGATTTCATTTCACTTGATGCCGAAGCCTATGCTACTCTTTAGTTCATACGTAGGGGCTAATTAATAAACAATAGATTTGTAGCATCCTACTTTTTGAATTCTGAACATGATGGTTATTGTATGCTGGTCTTAACTATTGAGCATTTTATATATATGTCAGTGAAGACGAAGAAGAAAGTAAAATTCGTAGTTAAATTTAGGTTTGGATTTTGGCATCAACTGAAATCACTCATTTAGAGATCGTTCCTTCAGGACTCAAGATTTAAGTGAATAAACCTTAAAAACAATTGAAAGTATATAAAAATTAATCATTTAGAACAAATACATTACTTAATTAGTCTTAGGAGAGGACTTGAAATATGATATCTTTTAGACAATGTAGAGCATATGGGATTCGGTTAAGGGGAATAAAAGTTGAGTGGTTATTTAACTAAATAATAATTTATATTATCATATTCAAACTTTCAATTCTCATCTAGCTTAATTAATATTCTTTTTCCATATTTTAATATTTATTAATCCTTTGTTTATGCCTTATAATTAATGTTATATTTACTAAAGTCATTTCGATTATCTATCTAATTTACAATTCTTCAAATTTCTTTCGACATTCAGGATAAGCACAAAGATTCCCTATAGAAAATAAGGATATTCTTGTTGGTTGAGACCCTTTGTCTGTCTTCACTAATTCTAATAATTAATGTAAAGCTCCATGTTTTATTAAATCCTTTGTTAAGGCATTAGAATTCCTCACAAAATTTCCTAATGCTCCAGCTGCATTTGCTCTAGTTTTTTCCTTTTTTTTAAATAATAAATATACTTCTTAATCTCTTAATAAATCAACTAACATTGGTACAACTGGTCTTAACTATTCATACAATCTGTCACTATGAAATCCTGCATTTCCAACTGCAAAGCAAGCAAATTTGCGTGTATGTTTATCTGGATCTTGACAACATTTTATGCAAAGATTAATTAAATCAAATTTTAGTAAGTGCTCATAAAAAAAGGAAGAATGTCGACACAAATTACCAATTAAATTGCAAACTTTTGCTCTAACATTAGAATCAGGAGATTAGATTTACTATTTCAAGTCAGTATACAAATTAATCGAATGAATATTTGGATAAAAATCTTTACTAATCCTGGCCAATTAAGAAAGGATATTAATTGAATCAACACTCATTATTTGATATTTCTACAAAATAGCCAATCCATTGTTTTATACAAAACTTTATGCAAATTGTTTGTCTTCTTCATTATTTCCCACCAATCTTGAAATGAATGAAATAACTAAAGATATGTGATCTTTTTATAAATATTTGATCAAATTTAAAGTTAAAGCTACTATCTCTTGATTACTCAATTCTTTAAATACATTATCACAATTTTATTCTTAAAATGCCAAAATGAAAATTCGAATAATTTAAATGCTCATTACATTTACGCATGCCAAGCCTCCTCCACTAGAAGATGGCCATTCTTGAATACTTTATAATTAAGCTTCTTTTAAAAAGGAACACAAAATTCTAATAGAGTTTTCTTAAAAGATTAATTATCCTAAGGCTTTGAAATTTGAGTATATTGAATCATGAATTAAAATTAATAACGATACAAATCCTTTTGGAGATACATCATTCCTGCTAGTAACATTCAATAAAATTTAGAACAATAATTAATGTATTTCATATTTTTCCAACAATTAAAACAGATCTGTCAATTTCTTTTACTCTTTATTATATCTGAATAGTAGTTTTTGTAACAATGTAATAACTCCATCAACGAATCCATAACTAGGACAACCAAAACTGCTACCCTCTAGCTTTCTAATTTCTTCTGTTCTATTTTGTTTTTTATTCGGATTGACCAGTTCGCTTAATAATTTGTAAGGTAGTTATTAGCTAAAATAATTAAGTAATTGATTCGTAAAGTTGGTTTCTTATTATAATAATTCTGCAATCAACTGAATTGCTGATAAAGAAACTATAGGATTTAACTAAATATTATTCTCAAAAATTTCAATCACCTGTTATAAATTAACCTAATATTCCTAATTTTTATTCTTATATTATTAAACTAAGATTAACAAGGCAGTTCCTTAAAATAATGCTTCATCAGAATTAAGTGCTTGACTAATCAGTTCTTTTGAAACATGAACATCTTTACTAACTCTAATCATTTATAATAAAATTCTCAATACAGAGATTCTTGTTAAATTTTACTATTCATCTTATTCATTATAAATTTTCATATGATCAATATCTGCATAAGCAGTAACTATCTAGTTTTTCATTGATTCAAACAGAGGTAATGCCTCATTAAAATTTAAAATTTAGATTGAATATCCTTTTTTCCAAGGAAAACTAAATATTTCTCCATGAATAGGATGTATCAATACTCCAATTACTTAAGTAGCAAATTTGTGAAGAGTAACATTATTTTTTGTCAGTTTAGCAGTTTCTTAGGCTAAGTTATGTTCAACTAATTCTTTATAAAACAATACAGATCTAACTGGATTTAGACTAGCTTAATTAGCAAATATCCCAATAGTTTTAATTGTGTTGATTAATTCATTATTTTATCCAATCTTCAGAATTTGGGCAGTCATGCCAATGAATTTAATAAATATATTATCAATTCCAATATTTTTATCAAAGGTGGCTTTGGCCAAAAGTCCAATAGTCTTAATTAACTCAGATAGCAATTCAGAACTACCTTATTTTAGAATACTCTTAACATGAGTAACCAATTAAATAGGAATTTATTAGTTTTTAACAACATCCAAGCCTTCTTATAAGTTTCCTTTGGTTATAACTTATCCAAAGACTTTCAAAGCGCAATGCAAAGAGGGTTTCTTTGGTGGAGCTAAAACTTGAAGCAATTTATCGAGAAATCCAGGGTCGCACCTTAATTATGTAGCCCCTTGAACATCATTGGCAATTTATTCACTTTTCACCCAATATTCATCATTGCAAGGCATTCTTCTGGGAGAGATATCTCTTGTATCTTTACCTTAATCATAAGTTATGATTTCTCTTGTAGGTGTTAAAGATCTTTTGCGTTTATCAATGACTTCATTTTCCACACCTGCCCATTAACTATATTATTCTAATCTTTTTTTCCTTTCATATTTTTCTTAGTCAGACTCTTATATAAATGGATGATTTAGCAGATCAGGCCATCCTAATCTATCAGAAGGTGTTTTATTGAGTAGTCCTTTTAAGAAACTTTTGAATTCCAGACTCATATTGTCTGGATATTTTACAGGATCCTTTATGATAAGTTGAATTAAAGAGTAAATTTGATTTGTATAGAATGGTGGTTAGCCAACAAAAAGTTCGTATAAAATCACCCCCAAAGACCAGAGATCAACGGTGTGATTATAAGGTTATTCTTAAACTAACTCTGGAGCCATGTAAAGTGGAGTACCTTTGATAGAATGCAACACTTAAGTATTTGTAGACATTGCTCTTGCAAATCCAAAATCACACAATTTAACAATTCCATTGGCAGATAGTAAAATATTTTAGGGTTTCATGTCCCTATGAATAATTCTGTTTGAATGCAGATAATGAAGTGCTCTAACCAATTATTATGCTATTTTTCTAACTTCACTTTCAGGAAGATTACGATCATCCTCCAAAATTTCATACAATTCTCCTTAAGCAAACTAATAAGTAAAACAATTTAAATTACTTCAGTTACTAAGCAAAACTCTCCTTACGTCTCAAATGCATCTAATAATAAGATTATATTTTCATGCTTCAATCTTCTCAATATTTCAATTTCCTATCTCAAATTTGCTAAATCTTTTTCTGTTTTTCCCCTTTTACTTATGAACTTCAAAGCTGCCATCTAATTGCTTTTCTTCTATCTTCCCTTAAATACCTTTCCAAATTGACCTTCACCTATTAAATGCAAGACATGATAATTTTCCATTTGATTTTAATTTATAATGTATATGTTAATTTAATATAACATCTTATTTACTATAGAATATTTGATCAAAATAATATTCGTTTTTATAAGTAATGAAAATTCAATTCCTTCTGGCATGCATTGTTTTTGCATCCGCTCAATCTTCATTTCTTGAAGAATCCTTAATTAACAGATCATTTGCCCCCATGATGAATATATTCTTAGAGAAATCAACCGATCCAACTTAATAATAATAATTAGAAACAGCCACCCCTCCTGATACACTTCTCACAGCCACCCTTGATAGTTACATTGATGCCTCAAAATAATAATAAATTCTAATTGCACAGCAATATGAGTAAAATTTACCAGCCAACGGTGATTGTATTATTCTTTATGGAGAATGTGAATATAAGGGGCCTTCTTTCAAATATTGTGATTAACCAGGAGAATACATCAAATTTGATATTCCTGTACATTCAGTTTACATCCCTATTGGGTATCTCATACAAATATTCTAGAATGTCACTCAAAATTAAAGATGCTCTCTAGGGAAATAAGATTAATTTAATTTATAGTCATGAATGCATATCTGAAGGTATTAACATTCCAGAACCCAAAATTTATGAAGATCATCCAAATGATTGGTTTGGTGAAATTAAAGAATCTGATAAGGCTGTTCTTGATTCAGGAGAACTTGCAACTCCATAAATTAAGTATTATGACAATGATGGAAATGTCATATGTATATTAATAATTTTATTGCATTAGCTAAAGAAGAATACTAAAAATTAGTCGAAGCTGATTTATAAAGGTCACATAATTTCTATCTTGGAATAGTTGAATAGCCAGATTATTCTTAGCCAAATTAATAAGTAGAATCTAATGAATGAAATGTTAAATTAATAACCATTAATAATTATTATTTCCCTTCTTTTGAATTTGTATAAGTTCTATTATTCCTACTTTAGTAAACTGTATTTTTTCAAATTTTATATAACACAAATTAAAACGCATATTATTACAAAAATTAATAATAAATTGCAGTTGTGTTTGTTAGAATTATTATAGTTCTATTATTAATTGACGACCTCTGGGAAGAAATTATTTATTTTAAAAAATGAATTTAATTTATTTATAAAGTTAAATATATAAATAATAACAATTTTTATACACATATAAACACTTTCATATTTTTCTAACTTACAGAGGTATTGTTTCAAATAATATTATTTTTTAATTTGGTATCTATTTTTATATGCACGCTTTTAGGAGTTTATCCTTAATTACTCTTAACTAATATGCCAAATCAAAGACAACAGAAAATATCAAGATAGAAGTAAATATTGCAATATGGAACCATCCTACTATATATTTTTAGTCTAAAGTTAGATTAGGCATTGAATACAAAATGAAGAAACTAGTGGCCAAAGTAATTTTGGATTCCACAAATATCATTTTGTAGTATTCGTAACCATTTGTCATAGGTCTCTTAGATACAAGATATAAAGCAAATGAAATATGAGTAATCGAAATAAGTGTCGTTTGTAATTATCCGGATTATTACATAAAAATGAGTAAAAGCATAAAAACTAATTTTTTAATTAATAGTAGCGAATTGAATTGTCTAGCCCATAATCCACGATTTTCTGTGACTCCTTCAGATAAAACCGTGAATTAATCAGCAATCCCATTTGATTACTAGGTTTGTTTTGAGAGAATCAAGTATATGATGGTTAGTACTAAACAGAATGACATTCCAGCAATTAAGACACTAACAAATGTTATAAAGATGTGAAATTTTGGGTAATATAACTAAAGCAAGACTGTAAAAAGAATGTCATATGTATTGGTTAGAAAAATTCTAATTATTCCAGAATAGAAAAAGTAAAATTAGAATCGTATTAATAATCTATATAGTTATTAAGTTAATTTTAGAAAGTATATATGGTCATATAAATAGTGAACATATTTATTTATAGCATAAATGAGTAATAAACTGGCATAAAAGGATGCAAAAGTAGTACCAAAAATCATCATGGAGCTTCCAAAATTATAAAAGTAAAATGCATTAATATTGTCTTCTTTAAACTTGTTAGTGGTTTCAATGAATATTGTTTCACCGAAACTAAATAGATTGATGATTTTTTAAAAGTGAATGAAATCTAGGAATGGTTGTAATGTTATTACTCTAAATAAATCAAAGAATGAATTTAAGTTTGTAGGAAATTGTATATTGATATACTTAATATATGATAAATACTGAACCATGTCTAATAGATTCCAAAATATATCTAAGTTTCCAGTGAGCACTGAAATTAAAGCAATGGCTAAAAGTATGTAGAGCAATATTGAATTAAAAATAGTGGTAGTTGTTGACATCCTTAAATCTGAGGCTGATTCATAATAGCAGGTAAATAAACGAATATTTTACTTTGTTTTCACAGGATGCTAATTATTTTCATCAATAAATTCTGAAGGTTTAAAAGAGACCAATAGTGATGGATTCTCCACACTTATAAAGAACTCAACATTGATTACATATACCACAGGATCAAATGTAGTTGTTGAGTAAGTGTTGTTATTCACAATGTCTATTTTATATAGAGTAGGATTTAAATTTAGGATGTTAGCTTCAATGAGAGTGTAATTAGATTTATTGTTTGCACCTAGATACTTAAGATTAGAGGTAAACGATAACTAAATGGACTGTTTCAAATTTGGTGCAATTGTTAGTAGTGTTAAGATCATGGAAGGCTATTAAGTAAACTCGCAGATAGATGGTACATTTGCATTGTTAATACAATTCCAGCTTTTTTCAATCATGCAACCAGATGAGCATCCATCAAAAGAATCGATATTAGCATCATCACATTGTTCAGATTATATATCAGTTGTAGCCACAACTATGCCATCTCCACAAATGACTTCGCATTATCCTTATATGGATATTGACCATCCAAATAGACACTATAAACATAGGCCTTGGTTGCACAAAGTACAAGCAAAATGGCATTAATATTAACAATTGTAACATCCATCATATTGATCAAAGTTCCCATCATCACATTATTCTTTCCCTTAAACAATTTCATCACCACATTTTGTAGTACAATTATCATTATTATCTATGTAATACCCTTACTCATAGTCACATTCAACACAAATACCTTCTTAACATATTAAACACCCAATCACACAACTATATTAACAATTATAACATCCATCATTTGCTCTAAGATTACCATCATCACATTACTCAACATCTAAGTTAACAATACCATCCCCACAAATATTTTGGCACCGTGTCTCGTAACACTACTCTTAATACCAGATGCATGATAAACCAAACTTATCAATAGAGCATGATTCTTGATTATCATAATCTGAACAACCATTAATCATAACACATTTATTTTAAACTTTACTAAAAGTGCAAGTGGCCATAAAATTCTGACATTCTGGATGGTTATTATGGTATTTAACATCAGCTAATTCACACTTTCTATTAAAACACTAATTGTTGTACCATACACATAAAAATCCTTGTCTTGAGATTGTACATTGATATTCAAATCTGAAATCACTGCAACTATATGATGTAATACATTAAACACCATTAGTGATGCAAGAGCCATCGAGGATAGCTTTGCAATATTTATCACTTTAATAGAAAAAATCCTCACAAACAGTCATTTGACATCCTTGGACACAATTTCTTTAGTTATTATCTCTAATATTGAGAAATTTGCAAGTGTTGTTATTGTAACTATTACAAGTTGCTTTATCTTGGCAACCAGATCCAGAATTTGCTAAGGTGCATTGATTTAATAATGATTCACACCCAATTGCAGTTGTGACTGTACTATCAATATTGGAACATATAAGTTCTTTACATACTCCATATTATTTGCTCCAATAACATTTTTTCCTACTAGCATCTATTACACATTAAGTCCTATATGCTAAATTACAAGTTGTTGGTATATTTGTACAACCCCCTAGTACTTATGAGACAGTACAAACTTGATTGGTTGGCGATATAAATTATTCACATTTGGTGATCGTGTCAATCTCTTGGGGTGCTGTTGTGCAATCTACAATATTAATACATTAGGTTTCTTGATAGTTGATTGTGCACCCATTTAACCACTATGAGCAACTCGTGTGATTAAAAACATTGAAAGGATAATTAGAACAAGTCTTATTTACACAAGCATTATTAATCCAGGCACAACTGTTTAGTGATAAATCTGTGGTTGAATTACACAATGTTTCACTTAGGTAGGAATTGCAAGTGGCTAATTTGATTTAACAAGTGCCTCCGATTAGATTGCATTTACTGAATTACTCACACGATAATGGAGGTGACACTAAGGAGCTATATTAAGAGCATTAGGCATCGATACATGATGCTCCATTCCAATAACAATAAGTATTGGCTGTGATAAGTGCATAATCGCATAATTATTAAGTTGTATATAGATTACAAGTGGCTAATATAGTTCTACAACCATTTGATGTTGTATTTAACACACATCTGTTATTAAATTATTGACAGATCTAATTGCTATAAATTCCATTTGAAGTTACATAAGTTGAACATTGATTGTAAATACAAGTTGATGTATTCAAATCCCAATAACACAGATTGCCATAAATATCTTTTGTACATTGATAAATAGATGTATATTAAGAACAACTAGCTTTTTTAGTTTGACAGTAACTATTTTTATCGCTAAAGGTGTATTTAATTACACATCCCTTGTTTTAATTATTGCAATCTCCAAAAGTCAAAGGATTCTAAATTGCAGAACATTAATACTATTCATTACAAACACTGTTTGCCCATAAACACTTATTACCACTTTTTAAAATAACTTATGAACATAGTAATTTTGTAGTTGCAGTATTACAGACATTTTATTTGCATAGGGTTGTATCCCAATAACAATAGTTGAAATTTTAACAGTCTGTTTGATTAAGTTGGAATTTACATTCCAATTTATTTTGGCAAACACTATTACTCCATGTACATTGGTTGAGTTTGTAACAATATTCCATTTGGGTATACTCATCACAGGATTTGAATTCACATCCATCAGTCGTCTTGGATAACCTACACAAATCATATTTTATGCATTGATATTCGTCAAATGTATTAGTAAAAGAATTAGTACAATCAAAATAATCAACACATGATGAATTCACCCATAAGCACTTTAGGTTAGAACTATTATAAGCTAATTAGCAATAGCTTTCATTAGAAATTTGATTGCAATTGGTGATGTCTACACAATTTGAGGTACCTTAAATACATTTATTATTATACAGCAAACAGCTGTTTGCTCCACTGATGAGTGAACATTCGATTGTTTAACAAGAAGTCCCATTCCATGAACAATATGATCCACTTTATACCTTGCCGGATATGCATACTGTTGAACCATATGAGGTTAAATCATTGCAGTTCAAAAGAGTAGCACATTTGGTTCCATTATAATAGCAAAAACTTTAAAAGGATTAACAATTTGCCATGTTGGCAGTACCAACAAAATCAGTACATAACTTTTCGACACATGTTCCTGATGTCCCAATTTTACATTGAACACTTTAAACTGTGATGGCATTGCAGTTTATATGAGATCCATTGCATTTAAACTGTGAATAACATTTACCATTATATGAAACACATTTATCACCTGTTGGTAATTTAATGGTACCATTAATAGATAAACAGAGAGTTTAATCCTTAATGAATTCACAATTCTTAGAAGTCATACAACCTATTCCTGTAACAATATTAAGAATGCAATCAGAATTATGTATTTGGCAATCATAATTGCTTGTAGCGTCGGTAATCCATTCACATTGATTTGCTAATATTTGAGCACAACATCCATTGGCATAATAACAATAGGTAGTTTAGCATCTTGGAATGGTTTAGTTACATACAAGGGCGTTTAAGATTGAATCACATTTTTATGGTCTGGTTATGCAACCTACATTGTCTAAATAGCATTGTTGATAATTAAGATAGTAAGTACATTCTCTTTCAGTGGTAGCAGTACTATTATCTTCACAAACAACATCTTCACATTTTTAATTAACTGAGTTCCATTTACAGGGTTAATCACTATTATTAATTTTACAGTCTAATTTATTTTTGTATGCTGAACAATACGTTTTAAAAATACAAACTGCAGTTAAATTATTAAGTTGACAGGTAGAATCAACAGCTTAACACTCATTTATATCCACAGTCTCATTAGAGTATCCATTGCATTTCTTAACACATTATATCCCATCCCAAAAACATTATTAATTATCAATACCTACCACACATTGATGTTATAAGAAATAGTCTTCACAATTAAGTCTGGGTTCACACCCATAAACCTTTTAAATTACTGTACATAATCCATTCCATCTATTGCATTTTTCATGTCCATCATATTGACTTGTGTTGCTTGCACCATTGCATAAAGTATTGTTCTGTTGAGGTTAGCATGAAGAACCTGTCCATTCACAATAGACTCCAGATTACAATCCAATAAAGCATTATTATTCACTTATTAGTTCTAGACAATTATTTGGCCAATCTTGACAAGAATTTCCGAATTCATTTATTATACAATCACTCTTCCAAATTTAGCAATCTTAGTGAGTTGTAAAATTCCCCATCCCACAAGATTTCTCTTGACATTTATCATCTAAGAATATACATTAAATTTTATCTAATGTACTTTTGCATTAAATAGCGTTATCATAATCTGAACAATTTTAGTTCTTATAAATGCAACCAGTTCCAGTGCTTGAATTCGAATCTTTCAATTCAACAGTACAATTAATGTTCCATTACTAACATTATGAATGAGTATTGTAATTTTTAGGAGCCTTTGAGCAATATGCAATTGTACATGAATAAAATTGACATAAATCACCAGATTTTTATTTATAACAATAAGTCATGTCTGTTACTGATTAACAATATTATGGCAAATCAACACAATATCCATTTAAATCACCAACACATGAAAGGTCATCTTTCCATAAAGCACAATTAGCATATTATGGAGCAATCTGACAAGTCTTCAAAACACACTAATTACTTGTCCACTAACATTATTATTATGCATAATCGAGCTAACAAGAATCTTCAGTTTCAAATTAATTGCAATTTTAAGGTCTAGATTTACAATTACCCGATTAAGTTGGTACACAATCCAATTCTTAAAAATAGGTATAACAATCATTTCCCATTGGAATTTACTAACAAACTTTTTTTATGCAAATTATTCCTGTCCAAAAGCATTCATTACCATCAATGTCAGCTACACATCCATTAATGTGTGTAATGTCTTGACACTCTTGTCTCACAACACAGTTAAAACCATTTGTAGTGCAAGATGATAAAAACTATTTACATTATTTGTCTGTAGAAAATTATGCATTCGGACAGATTTTTTCCATGCATTTACTTTTCAATTAGTTCCAAAAGCATTCCTTTCCATCAATTGTACTGAAACATTGAAATATCTTATATTCAATACATTAAGAGGCTTTAATTGTACAGTAACCTTTCTAATCTATTGTACACTAACTTATTGCATTTTCGCATTAAATATGCGATTTCAATATAGGTAAATCAGAACATTCTAATATCTTAAAACAATTTGGAGTTTGTTTTATGTTCCATTAGCAATATCCTTAGTGTATATCTTGATTTTTGCATGCTTCTTATGTTAAATAATTCTGGCATTCATTTTTTTATATACAAGTGCTCCCGTCTGATATGCAATTTATTGATGACGCACATTTATCAATAGTGAATATTCCACAACCTTTGAAATCCATGCATGAACCATCTTTAAATGCACAATCTTCCTATTAAACGCATTCTTCTTCTAAAAACTAGTCACATTTGTTCTCAATATTACTGATGTAAGAGGAATTGTTATCACACATTTTATTAATCCATTGACATCTTTTAGAAATCTCACAAGTGAATTAATCAGGAATTTGAAAGCATTGACATTATTGAAGTTAGGTATTAATAGTTCTGAATAACAATAAATAAGGTACGATGTATTATATCATTTATTTTAATTATTCAAATCAGCCATGATCAATTTATAATTAAATAATATTGGATAACATAATCAACAAGAAATTCATATATTAATTTTTTATATTATTATAAATTATTATACAGAATTGAAACACCTTAGCATTTTTTGAAAAATAGTAATCATCGAAATAATTTTGATTTGTAGTTCAAGACCATAATATATTTAATATGAATTCAAGACATTAATAATATTTATTAATTAATTGGACTGAAAAAGTTACGTTGCTCAAAAAATTCGTTAATAAGAAGCATAATATTGTACTTTTTGCACATTTTTCTCAATTATACAAAAGTATCAAGAATTAAGTTTTGTAGGAATATAGATAAAATCTTCAATTAATTCTTATGATAATAATTAGTTGCTTTTTGTCTCATTTTAATCTTTCTATGTGGATATCATCTATAAGAGTGGATAATGGCTAGAAGTAGCTTCTACTTTTTGGACTCAATCTATTTAGTAGTTTGGAATATTGAAGAATAATATTGATATTTATCAATTGAATAAATAAGAAAAAATATAAATAAATTTTAAATTTAGAAAAATTTAAATTCCAAATAAAATAATCATGCTATTCAAATTAAAATCAACCAATTTTTTGTATCATACTTAATTTCAAAATAATAATAGGTTTTTTAACAATGAATAAATTAAAACAAGAATACTAAACTAAAGAAGATTCCAAGAATAATAAGACAACTAATAATCAAATCAATCTTAGTGTTGAGAAATAACTATCTAAAATTTACAAATCAAAGGATAATTGCATGATGTGTCTTTCATGTCAATAAGATATTATGAGACAGAACATATACAATCATTTATTTGAACCATTGCATATACTCAAACTCTAAGAGTACTTTATCTAACAAAGTAGTCATGCTTAAAATAAGAAAGAAAAGATTTTGAAAAAAGTTGATAGTAAAACTCAGTCTTTACAAACTTAATATATTAAAAACGAGTAAATAGGAAAAGAAGATAAAAAACACTAAACAATCGAGATTCCATTAATTGATCATGAGCTTAATTAGAATATTAATAGAAATCAGATTGAAAAGTTTGTAGAAATCTTATAATACGATTTGAAATGTATTGGTAAAATATAATTATCACTTATTGTGTCAATATTGGTTAAAACGTATTGCACAATAAACGAGATAATAGAGATGAAGTTCTCCCAAATTTTAGATAAATGTACATTTTATTATATCAATATAAATAATTCTTGGGAAAAGAGTTATTTAATTCTAAAATAGAGGTTTCCAGAGTATTTATAAGATTTTATGAGTAGGAATTTAGGATCCAATAAACATTTGATTAAATTATTAGGATAAAACAAGAGATAGACTTTAAGTAAAGAATTATGGCTCAGCTGTAATAAAATCTAGTCACAAACTATTGATGCAGAATATATTAGTTTTTTGTAAGGTTTAACCTTAAAAAAGCTGAAAAAGATTTCCCTCGAGAAGATGGCAAAAAAGAATAAGATTTAAGTTTAAGATGAATAGATTACAAAGGAGATAACCCAAAAGAATTCAGCTTAATCAAAAAATCAAGAGTTGTAGAAAGTAGAATAGATAAAAAACCCAGAAAAAAAGTAAGCAATAAAAATAATAATTAAATAAAAATCTATTGAAAATTAGAAATAAGAATTAGTAGATTGACATATTGATATATATATTTCTATTTCATAAAATTAAATTAAAGACGTACATTATATTATATGAAATACTCTAATATCAAACTCTATAGTGATACTTTATGAGTGGAAAATCGACGCTTACTTCTTATCCATTTATCATTTAATAGGAATCCAAAATTACATCGAAATTGATTTCATCTTCTGCCAACTTTTCTTTAGAAACCTGAGCATATACATCTGCACAGTCTTTCGTTAATCTAAAAGTATTACAAATAGCTATACAATTCTTTTGATGAAGCTTTAAGTTTTGAATAAATCAGATACTGATTGAAACCTAAAAATTACACATTTACATTATAATTTTGTTCAAAATATTATATAAATTCCCCTACAGTCATTTTCTTATTAATCTTGATTCTATCCCAGGAAGTCCAATCTAAGATGTACAAAAATAATACTTTTAGGGACTGCAATAGTTCGATCCATAATTAATTAATTAAATTCTTGATCTACATTTTGATATGGAGGCTTTGGTTATGAAAAAATAAAAGTGGGTAATGCAAGATTAATATATGCATTTCTAATAGAGTTTATATTCTTTTATTGGATATATTTGAGTATTTCAATTCCCACTATTCCAGTTATAACAGATTTGGTTGTTATTAATTAAGGAATGAAACATTCAACACTTTCTCTCACTTGTTGTCTAATTGCAGATGGAATATTATAATTGATTCCTCTTAGATTAGCAGCAGATGTTATAAACTCCAATTCTATATCGTTTAATTTATCCTTTTAATATGAAAATGGTTTAATTTATTACAAATGTTGTACATTCTCTTAAATTAGCTTCTCTAATTTAATCATAAGCATATCATTCTCTTATTTAATATCATTTTCGTTAAATTACTAATTTGCAAACAATTCTTTATTCTTATTGGTCTCAATTGAATCAACCAGAACTGATATCTATTCTGAATCAAACTGTAATGGGCAACCAAGTATTTTGATAACTATTTTTACTACACAATGAATAAATTAAATATGAAGTGGATTAGTTGAATTAAATTCTATTGACATAGGTAATCTTTTAGGGTTTGTCCAAAATAATAATCCATTTTATTATTCAAAATCAGCTGGATATTTACTTAACAGCTACCTTATTTTTTAATCAAATAAGAAAGAAAACAATTCTTTTGCATATTTGACTAGATTTTCTAAAGTAGGGTTAATGGCTAATAATACATATTTTTCAATCAATTAAAGTTGATCTTTTAAATAATCTAAGCAAGATTAATTCTAATTATAAAAAGCGTTAATAAATATCTATGGGTTTTATGATAATTAATATAAGTTTTTTGAAGTTTTTTCGAATAGATCGTTGAAATATTCCAAAGCCCATAGTATATTATGATCTGTTTTATATGGAAAATTCAAGAAGATACTTTTAGAGATGCTCGTTTCTGGGCTATCCTTAAATTCGCTAAATGATTCAGTTTAAAATGGAAGAATTACCTGAGAATGACATTTAGAACCGTCAGTTCCGCTTTCGAAATTAGGCTTACTATAATAACAGCACTAAGAGTCTATATAAAGTCTTGCCCTAATATTATCAACAGCATTAACAGTAAAATCTATTTAATTCCAGAAATACTAATTAAATATTTGTTAACTTTCTTTTGATATCACATATGGATATGCTTTACATTTAATTGAATGATTAATCTATTTAATCATTGCACAAGCTACATCAGCCTTATTTGAGCCAATATGATGTTTTCTAAATAAAAATTGTCTATTTAGATTTGACAGTTCTATTTAATCATTATCAACAGCAATCAATGATCCTTTTTGTCCACTTCCAATTCCCATTAAAGAGAACATTTTAAGATATTCATTTCCTAAACCACCAACCCCCATCAATAATACATTTTAATTTTATAGCTTTTCAATTGTTTCCTTCCCAAATATGGCATAATAATCATCATATTAACAATCCATTGATTTTCGATTGACTTCAACTTCAGGAAGAGCTTCATAAAATTCTAAATGTAGCCATTACCTTATGGATGTAAATTTCCCTGTAAATTTAAGCACTTCAAATGCAACAAGTCCACCCCAAAATGATGTCAATGGTGCAATATGAGCTTGCAAATGCAGTGCAATATTTTTGATTAATTAAATATCTAACTAAACATGCTCTTTCTAATTTTATAAAGCTAGTTTCAAAACTAAATCTGCATCCTCTTGATTCAATAGGTTTGGGAGCCTTCCATTCTAATTCATAAAAGCTAAGATCGAATTATATGAAATTTATAATTGTAGTTGCCTGTCTATATTGTCCTTATTTTCAAAGGATAACATATTTTTAAATGATTTATACGATATTTTCTTAGGGAACTTTATTTAAACAGCTTTTCCATTTCCTTAATATGCTTAAAAATTGGTTGTATCACCAATACTAAATTTATGAGGAGTTAATGTCTTTATTATAATATTGATTAATTACAGTAATCTTAAAAACTTAATCGTTTACTTCAGACATCCCTAACACTTCTTTGAATTTGACATAATCTCCATCTTAAAGGCTTTAAATATTATCAATTGTATGAACAACTCCATTTTAATGTTTTGTTATTTCTTCGATTAAGTATTCTTTACATGTCTCTCCAGTTTCATTTTCAATTACAAAATTCTAATAATATTCTTAAATTATGCTTACATCTGAAAAATCTACAAATATTGATCCAAACAGCCCAGAAGAATGAGCTAAAATAAATCCATTTCCCTTTTTCCTTATAGCTTCATTAATTTCATAAATTAAATCTTAATCCCATGTGTCAGTCATTACAACAATCGAAAACTCTATTAAATTTTACCCATTTATAATTCCATCATATATATCGACAATCACATTCTCATTTAAATCTTTTAAAGATTAAATCACAGCCTTCTCTCTTGTAACTTTATCAACCTAATCTGTCTTTGCATAAAAATTTGTGCCTAAATCAGAACTAGATAGAACTGTTTTATCATAAATCACCACTCTTTTCAAACCCATCAATATTAAATTTTTAGCAATCTCTAATCCTAACTATCTTATGATAATATTTTACTCCTCTTAATCCATAAATAAAGCAATTTAATTATTCTAATTTACCTTATATATCCCATCCCAAAGCAGCTGCTTGTCGTGAATAATATATTTCATTTTCTTTTAAAATTTATTAAAACATAAATATTTTTAATATATTTTGTTTATAATTTAATTTTATTAATAATTAATATGCGTTATTGTTTTGGATGTGTAAATGTAGCCACTTAGGATTACAAGAATAACTTAAATAAATATATTCAACAATATAGTAAACAATCATAAATTACAAAATAAATTGAGATTCTCAACATTGATTCCTATTCTAGTGTTAGAGTTTTTTAGTATTTTTGTTAAAGTGAAACAATCCTAACGAAAATTCATCAGTTTTAGAAAACTATATTCTTAAAGATGAGGTTTAATAATATACTTAGAAAATAAAAGAATTTATAATGCTTTTTTATTACTATTTTATAATACATCCTAAGGAGAGAAATTATTTTTTGCAATGCCAATCTATCTTTAGCAAATTTGACTAATTATTTACTGAATTCTAAAATTTGTTGTAAATTGGTTTTATAAAAATTTCATTAAGATTGAGATTCACTAAAATCATCCCTAACTGGTTCTGTGTTTAATATTATTTTTTTTAATAAATATAACATTAACTGAAGAAATAGTAAAGATAAAAAGTATCAGCTTCTAGATAGGCTGTTTATTAATGTAAAACAAAATCATCATTACACAATTTCTTGATTATAGAGAAACAAACAAAAATGAGCACAATATTCAGATTGCTGAAGAAAATCACATTAAAATTCTACAAGGCTTGAAGATAATTAACTTAAAAAATTTCTGTGTTATGTAACAATAAAAGCATTATAAAAAATGTAACAGTAAATAAATGGAATTTAACAAAATTAGGAAAAAGAATCAAACAAATTGAAATTTGATTTTATCAATTAAAGGTGTGATAAATTCCAACTATAGATTCATAACAATAATCATATTGATTATAATTTCATAGATAACGAACTTTGGATTAGTAATGAATTTATAAATAAATATTAAAGAAAAGATATGGATCCTCCAAAAACATTGGTTTAGTTAGACTCCTTCACAATAGTAGGAATTTAAAGAAATATTATCCAAAAAGATGAATTGGATCCATAAAAGGCTCAGATTGGAAGAACCTTTGATGAATACTATTCAAAGCAGCTCTATGATTAGATTCCAAATCGTTTAAATCCAATGAGAACTCATTGCTTATATTTTGAATTGTCGGATGGGTAGGATTGGTAAGAAATGAAATACAAAATTGTTGTTGGGGAATAGGTAAGTTAAGTTAATAATGTACCAGAAGGAATGGTTAGCATATAAGTTCCAGCCCATCATTTTTGTCGTTTTGATTGTGGCCCAGGGCCAATTCCAGATGTAGTAATTGAAGCTTGGCAATCTTTGGGCAAATTGAATCCAGAAGATTTTGGAGGAGATCGCACTCATGATTTTGAATTGGAAGTGTACCCAGAGGATCAATTAGATAGGAATTCAATGAAATTTCATTTATATATAGGAATATAATGAATAACAATTTAAGTGAATAGGATAACTTTTGTTTTTCATAGAGTATATTCGGTTTATTTCTTTTTTTGGTTCCAAATTTACCAGAAAGGAAATTGGCTCAAGATTATGTTCCTTTAAGCCTTTATTAGTGATAGGAATTGCTCCAGTTTATTCAAGAGGTTTATCATACATAGCACTTCGAGAACCTGAAAAAAATTTCAAATTATTTAATAACAATAATACATTGTAAAGAAACCAAGAAGGGTTTTTATCTCTATCATCAATATTCAAGGAAGGAGGTTACTCAATACAACCTGATTCCTAATTTTATCAATAAAAAATTCATCAAATTTTGTTGAATGGAACCTATTCATATAAAAGAATTATTTATGATATACCTCCAAAGCTTAAACGAGAGCAGCAACAATTTTTGGGTAGCTTAAATCTCGTATTAAAGATATTTTTAAGAGATTCAACAATTAGTTCAATCATCTGTTCAGAAAAAGGCCGTCTTGCTCTGGTACTTAACATAATGTAATCATTTTAATAAAATCTACAAGGGATCGATGAAATCATATTAATGAAGCTATATCTAACATATTAGATCTAAATATTCTATATTTGGATGGAAACTACAAAAATGCAAAAGAAATTTCACTATTTCTTAAGTTAGCCCTAATTTTAATTAAGTAAAATTTGATCAACTTAAAATTGAACACTTAAACTAATATTGCAAATTTATGGTAATATATTAATTCAAATTATTATATATAT